CCCAACGTCTCTCGTTTTATTTAATTATTGATTTCAGTCATACAAACATTATACACAATTTTACATTTTGTTAATTTGGTTCGCGCAGACTGTAATAAAATTAATTAACAAAAATAATCCTATCGTTGCATAGAACTAATTACATATTGAGGAAAAAGAGATAACAAGATTGTACAGTAACGGCACCAGCTAGGGTATTTTTTTTTCAGGACACATTTTACACAACGTTCTCTAGTCCCAAACTAAGCAACGCTTGTACTGTGGATACTAGATAACTGATAAATACTTAAACATACTTAATAAATATGTCATCGATTACGATAATTTAACAATAACTAGTAACTCAATTGATATTGTTGTAACGGTGAGGAGTGAACACCGTGACGAAACGAATCACGTGATCGGAATCGTTTGGAGGGGGCAACTGTTACATTTTAAATATGAGCGAGCGGTGAGCCTGGGGGCAGTATTACGGAGTAACTCAGTTCATTAGTGAGAGCGATACAGTTCGGACTTTATACTTAATTGACTATCTACATAGAATACAAGATATATTCTTCTGTATCTTTGTGGTTTAATTGCCTGAGACCTACGACATGAACCTTCCACCAGAAGCTCCTACCGAAGACGTTCGTATGGCTAATCTATCGCTGTCGCCGAAATATACAGCGTGTCGTTACCATCGCGACAATAAATGAACACACGTCTAACGCTACCTGCCTATAATCATAAAAAAATATTAACGTCAAACTAAATCCATAATTAAAAAAAAATATTTTTAAAACAAACTAATTAAGTAAAAAAGAAACACAATTTGTAACACCCTATACAACTCGCGCCACGGCGTCGCATTACAAGCCTCTCCTTCTAACAGTATGTTTTGTCTCTTTTAAATTCATTCAACCCATTCATGCGCCTTGTGACCTTTACAAATGAACTTTACGTTACAGTTTTATACGTAAGGGTTTTCTAAAATTGTTTGTTATGGAAAATTTAATAACTCGGTAAATATTGATGTTTAAAGAATGTACATGTTTATTATAATTTTAAAAAGTTATTCTCTATATGTGTGTTCATTTATTGTCGCGGTGGTAATGACACGCTGTATAAACACCCAGAAACTAGAAAAATACTATATACAGTGGGGATCGAACCCGCACCCTCTGGCGCCAGATGCAGGGTCACAGCATAGTTGTCTTTTATCCCTGGAGTAGTGTTAACTACGATCCATATACACCTTGCAGATTAAATCTACGTGACAAGCGATAAACCAGTCACTGTGCCCTGGAGACAAATTGGCGTTGGTACATGATATTGAATATCATACTCGTGACAGACCGGGAGCAGACGTTTGTATTACTGGACCACCACTACCATATACTTTACAATGCTCGTATAACATCTTAGACGGAAACGTTACAGTAAACAATGATTGCACTCTTGAACAACTTTGTTATCACGAGACAATCCTTGTATACATTTCTATATCAAAAATCTGTTCTCAAGAATCCCCTAGCCAGCTATATGCTAATGGAGAATCCTTATCCACCGTCATCCCATTATCATACTATTTTACATAGAAATACACCGCCTCTTTCTACGGAGGTTATTCTCATTTAAGATACGCTCGAGAACTGATTTTATTCGTTGTTGATTTTTGTAATCACGGTAGCAGTTAGTAACTATCAGTGAATATCTATATTTTATATTCTTCAAAGGCAGAGTACAGGAGAAAGGCAGAGATCGCAGTTATAAAAGAATGTATATAAATCACTACATAGTATAAAACAAAGTCGTCCCGCTGTCTGTCTGTCCCTATGTGTGCTTAGATCTTTAAAACTTCGCAACGGATCTTGATGCGCTTCGCCCTTTTTTTACTAGGACGATTCGAGAGGAAGGTTCATGTTCATATACATTGGACCCATGCGAAGCCGGGGCGAGTAGTAGAATATAAATCAAGGATGTTTTTACTGTGGTAGAACCACAGTAAAAACATCCTTGCCGTAGCCTGTTGTCAATGGACAGGCGCAACTATTTTTTATAACAATAGTAATAATAGTTCATTTGTAATCATGGCTTACATATAGAAAAATGGCTTACTCCCGAAATCTGAATTGCATTGCATTGTAACACAACGAAATCATTCTGCGATTCAACAAAAACGAAAATTTCCTTAAAGTCGCGTTCGCCGCACAATAGCAGGATATTTGCCTCGGGGAAAATTTAAAAATCCCCTTATTCCGATGTGATAGAGTTCAAAGTCAAAGTCAAAGTATCTTTATTCAATATACGCTTAACTTAAGCTCTTATTGAACGTCAACAGAAACTACCACCGGTTCACTAAACTAGACCTGAACAGAGAAGAACCAGCAAGAAGCTCTGCGGTCTTGCTCTTTTTTATTTAAAAAAAAATTGATTTTTTGTTCGACGCGCAATCGAGTTGCAAATTTCGCCTTGTTCTCGGCCAATGGTCACTCGTTGGTTATGTGTATTTATGGTAATGGTCTGTGTCGATTCCGGACGATAACTTCTAGTCTGCGAACCACTTTCGGCTCACAAAATACTTTTTAATTGGTCGAGTATCGTAAAACATATGAAAAAAGCAGTGCCCGAGTTAAAAAAGATTGAAATATCTATATGTATAATTAATATGTCTTATACGGTAGTCAGAGACAGTAAAATATATAATTATATATGTCCCACTGCTGGGCATAGCAGCGCTGGGCATATTCGAGCATAGTCCACCACTTAGACTTCACATATCTTCGAAATTTTTTTTGCTATTATTTCGAAAATACACTGGTTTTCTCACGATGTCTTCCTTCACCGCTGAGCACGTGATAAGTCAGCGCTTAAAATTAACGATTTCATTGGCGCCGGCACTGTGGATCGAATTCAGGTTGAAAAATGTTACTTCAAACGCGCCAAAAAAAGTATTACTTCAAAAAAAATCGTTAATAAATTTACCTTATGGTTCACCTTATGTTAAGTGAATTTTGTTGACGTTTCAATTTCCCATTGAAATTTGCAACACCCATAGGGTTGCATATGCGTTGCCACCTAATAATAAAGTGGATCGCGGCTACCTAACTGACGCAAAAGTATAACATTTCTACTACACGCCTGTCTTCTGTGAGGTCGTGGTACTCACCCGGACGGACCTGCCCATTCGTGCAACAGCGAAGACTGTTGCGTGGCCGTACCACGGTCTGATAATGATGTTTCCTCTTCGAGATTGATGTATAAAGCTTTCTGCGTAGACATACGACACCCCTACCTCGATAAACATATGATACGTTAGCTGGTATTTTATACGTGTAGGTATGAGAACAATTATAATTTTGTTTTTAACAAAAACCATGCTTGATTAATAGCTAAGTACCTTTATTTCAATATCGAAGCAACCTGAGTTCGATCCCCGGTGCCGGCACCAATGAAGTTTTTAACTTTGAGTGCTGACTTATCACGTGCTCCGCGGTGAAGGAAAACATCGTGAGGAAACCTGCATATTTTCGAAATAATAACAAAAAAAAATATTTTTCGAAGATATGTGAATTCCGCCAATCTGCAGTGGGGTCGCGACTATGCCCTGATACCCCTTGTATAGAGCAGGCCTTTGCCCAGCAGTGGGGCATGTATAGGCTGTTACTTTACTTTTACCTGGAGGACCGAGCTTTGCTCTGTTTTTTTATTTCGATTTTTCGCCTCCGAATCTACGCATATACTAAATTTCATGAAAATCGCTGGAGCCGTTTCCGAAATTCCGATTATATATATATATATATAGCTCGTTCAAAGGTATTACATAGTAACGTTCGATCGGTCTCTATAATCCGATTAGTAGGTCCTACCGATATGGTTATAAGTTTTATGAAAACTAAATAAAACATCTGAATGAGTGAACCAAAATGAATATAAGCTAGATGATTATAAGAGCTTGAATCCAACATTAAACATATATTTTACTGCTAAGCAGAAGCTGTGGCATGAACGGGTAGGCTCGTCCGATTAATTACCACGGCCTTATAGAAGACCGAACATTTGAAGAAACGTGATTTAATAAATACAAACGGGGAAAGTGCTAAAAATATCAGCTCATTATACGAACAACCGCTTCCGATCCATCCAATTTGAGGAACAAATGGCTGTGTAATGACCCCCTAAAAGTGGAACTCGCTGGGGCAGATTGAAATGTAATGGCTTTGCAAATATTCCGTTGAGATTTCGCGGGCTTGATGGAAAAAATGGGCCCGTTTATTTTAACGCAGCACGTGAACGAAGCATTACAACAATACATAATTTACATTTGAAAATGTGTACATGAAAATGTCTACACTACACAATGGACTTTGAGATCTAATTGATTATGTTGTTCAAATACGATGGCTTTGCTTATTAAATAACAAAATTTCGTTCAAACTTTGCAGTTTCATATTTAGGTCTTGTTTTAGAAGCTTAACTTAAAATGATTCTCATCTAGATCATTCAAAATTCTTAGAACTATTGACTGTTTTTGTTCTGGTCTGTCACCAGGCTGTATCTCCTGAACCGTTCACAGATAATATATTTCTTTTGCCACTCCAACATCAAATACTAAAGGACAGAATAAAAAAGTATTTAAGTGGGGCTCCCAACATACAACAGTCATGATTTTTTGCTGTTTTTATGGATAGTGTCGCGAGTCGGACTCGCACTTGGCCGATTTTGTTTTTTTTAGTACGTTAATTTTGTAATGATGAAATTATTTCTATATTTAAATTAAAGATATACAGTTCGAACTTAAACCAAATATGTACAAAGGTATAAAGGGCATAATTGCGAAAACACGAGTATTGAAATTTCACTTTTTAATTATATCAATTAGTATTTATCGTCTAATAAGAAACGGTAGCCAGAAGTGTTTATCAATCAAGCAGTATCAATGTAAATTTGCTTGATAAATCGACGATATAAAATCGGAGTATGGAAGATAGTTTTCACAGTAGAACGTAACTAGTGGAATGTTTCGTGTTGTGATTTTGTTTGCGGCCGCGACCATCGTCGCGGGCGGTGTGACCAACGTAGAGCGTTGTGAGTACTTAAGCTACTGGCTAGAAAATGATGGAAAGTTTCATCATTGTTAAGAAAGTGACTCTTAATTGATTGAATGAGTATCAAAGAAATACCCATGGACATACAAATTTGGGATTTGTTCGTACGTTTTATAAGCACAGCACCATCTTTAATGGCGATTGGCAAACTCTAAATAGATAAGCATGTTAACCGTCAAGGCCTGTGCCCCACAATGGACCGTCGCAAACTTATGACAATGAATGATAAAATATAACAACTAATAAATACGTGTTACTTCACGTATACATAACATGTGTCGAAGGTGTTAATCATGAAGTATGAGGTGAAACGCGTCTTAGTTTGCCGTATTCAATGTTTCATTTAAAAGGAATGGTGTCATTAAATACAATGTATTATCCTCGATCTACCCTTGCAGGTCTCAATGACAACGGAGATCTACCCCTGCACACGTACATAGAGGGCTGCACAGACCCACCCTGCGAGTTGCTCCACGATGAATACGTCGTAATGCATACCACGTTTAAGGCCCGTGAGTATTTCGCATAATTAGCGTCGTATCAATACGACTGACTAACAATTGTGACAATCTCGAATCTGCGCGTGTGTGTGTGATGCGCAATTCCAATACGTTGAACGTCCATACAATGACAAGAGGCGGTAAAGATTGCCCGAATTGTGGACACGATCTATTACGAAAAAAAATGACCAGCATATAAAAAGGCCGCTATTGTATTTGAAGATATCATGTTTCACACTATATCAGGTTTTCGAGTATTAATTAGCACTGATTGCAACCTGATATCATTATCAGAAATATGATATGGTCTTTCGTCAGATTTCAGAAATGTAATATCTGTGTCCGGTGTGATTTGAATATTAAATGATTTACTGAACAAATTTTCGCATCAAAATCGTCTAAAATATAATAATTCAAATTAGAACTCGCATCTAGAAGAATTATCTAAAAGCTAGCAACGATAAGAACTAGCAAAAACTGGATTTCAATTTGAACGACTAGTAGGGATACAATCGTTTTGAGGCTGTTTAAATAATGATCGTTTAAATGCTATTCATTGATGCCTTCAATAAACTAAATGCACTTGATTGCAATTAACATACAAGTATTTGAACCATCCACATCGCCCTCATTGCATTTATATCGTCAATCAAAGATGTAATCCGTCTGTAAACCATAAGTTTTCACTTAATTGAGAAGGGTGCAACACAAGCGAAAACAAAATCCATTTGTAATTTCAACACGATGTCCTTCCTTTGGACACGATATTTCAATAATGAACCCTTATTCTAAACTACTAAAACTTCTAACTACTAAATCTGTTATCGTCAAAAGGTTTTGTACTTCATTGGCCTTCTCCATTTCCTTCATTAATTCAAGCACACCTACTACTTTTTACCTTAAATCAATAACGAATCAATACTCTAACTTGTACTATGTCTCACATGAAAGGAAACATTAACATCGTAATATTATTGATAAGATAAATTAATTTACTATTGAATAGCAAAGGCGATGGCAACTTAGTAATTGCTACTTCGGAATTACAATTTTCATAGTTATTAAAGATCTCGATTACGAATAAGTCCACCCTTTTTAAGGACTCCACACGTACAAGAACCACTGCCTCTCTTTAGAAGTCTCTAAAATTGCTAATTTTAAGCGCTGAGTAATCGCCCCTAGACTACATCAGTCGGTGTAGATTAGGAGCGATTACTTTCTTTTTTTTTTACTTTGGTCTCTCCCGTACTTGTACATGCAAAATGTTTAGAAATCGACGACATGCAAACAAAAACTATTGCTATCAAAACGAAACGTGTACCATTAAAACTGATAAGAGATATTTGTTGTTCAATTGCAGCTCGCAACATTACTAGCATGACGACTTGGGGGGCCCTTTACTTAAATGTGGGGCCGGTGAACGTTCCAGTCCGCTACAGGCTCGGCGAGCAGGAGACGACCTGCAACTTCCTCGAGAACACCCGCTGCCCCCTCCGAAAGGGGCAAATCGTGAGATACACCCTGAGAATGTACATTGGAGTCTACATGCTGTTGGTGGGTGCTTCACTTGACTGCCGTCTGGTCTAAGCGTCGACTCTTCCTAGAAATCACATTGCTACAAATACTTCATTATAAGAACAAATTCACGTAGAACCCTACATATATTTGGATTATACATATACAAGCGGACCCGACAGACGTCGTGTACACACGACATAAATCATACCACTTATAAATAAAAAAAAGAAAATATAGTGAACCGAATTGTAAATCTAAATCATTCTCAAATCGACCTGAAGACCACAAAAATTTTCACTAAAATCTGTCTAGCCGTTTAAGTGGAATTCAGTGATTAGGAGATAATGAATTCTGCCGTGTCAGGTCAACTGGTAATCTGCCCTCTAATAATATTCTAAAACTAGTCAGGCTCAAGTATAACACTTGCACTTCCCGCCGGTATCCTGTGAACCTTCTCCGTACCAGCCTATGCATTCGCGCAACAGTAAGCTATGGGCCTAGCACTGTTTGTTTCGTCAGTGTTTTTGAGTTTTCTAAAGATCCACAAATCACTGAAGCACTTAATTTGTATACACTTTATATTTGTTCAAAATTTCCCAATCAATTTAATAGTAAGACAACGATGAGCAGATGTTGAAACTTTCTGACTTTTCTCTTTTTCTAAACTTACTGCGGAACTGGTATAAATTTGCTACAGAGAAATAGATCTTTTTTATCTGAGAATGGAAATTTACCTAATATTAAGGGTGGCAGATGCGTTGCCAACCTTCAAAAACAGTTTCAAATACAGATAAGCTTTTAAAAGATAGTTTATACACGTCTTAGAAATATCACTTTTACTATTGGATAAAATGCGCCGCGTCGTATGGACAATATCTATATTTCAAGTAAACAAACATCCAGGTATTTAAAAAACAGATTCTTAACTAACACGAATCCTGTAGGAGAATACAAAGTACCGCATTACCTTAATTGAATTAAGTCTGACTAAACAAACTGAGTGTGGTTTAACATGACTTGTTTCTTCAGAGAAGCGCGGTGCGATTGGAGTACATCATAATGGATGAAAATTGGGCCCCGGTAGTCTGCGTGGGATTCCCCGTCAGAGGAGATCACTACCGGCCCCCGGTCAATCAACAGCGAAAATTACCTCCCCTTCCTATCCGAGACTAACAAGATGTCGTGTGGTAATGAATACTCGGACTCTGTATAACGACATGGAGACAGTACTGCCTTATATGTTAAACATTTGTTTTATTATTGCTTGTAAGAACAAGTGCGATCTACAATAAATTTATTTATATATGTGTACAACCTATTTTTTAACTACTTCACATCTACTTCACATTTGTGCCCGACAACTGGCATCATCTGTGACTAAATACTATAGGATAACTTCAGAAGTATAGGTTTTAAACATGAATTAAGTAGTTCTTAAGTTCTTATATTTTTATTACAATATTTCGCTAATTAAATGTCTTTTCTTTCCGACGACCGTGCCAAGAGAGATGATCTGTGTTCCTTGTACCGCCGTTACGGCAGTACCCGGAACGCATCATTCACCCGTCTTAATTCTAATTGTGTTATGAATATTGTTTTTAAAATAATTAACAAATTATTTTTGTGTTTCTTACAATATTTGTGACAATTAATTACAGCTCTAGTTAAGTCTTTATGAAAAATAAATTACATATCGGATCCTGATTTACATTTTAATGTTGCCATATTTCCACGATAATGTTGCTATTTTACAAAAGTTTTATCGAACATAAATTTATAATTAATCGAAAATATTATAATAGTATACAAAAACTACTTTTCTAGTCAATATAAATTATAAACGGAACGGAGGTAGATATAAGTTTTTTTTTATATGAGAAGGTGGCAAGCGTGCTAGCGGTTCACCTAACGTTAAGTGATAACCGCCACTCGTGGACATTTGCAACACCTGTAGGGTTGCAGACACTTTGCCACCTATTAACAAAGTGGTCCCCGAGTACCTCACTTTCCAGGCGAAATGCAGAAGTATAACACATCCACTTCACGCCGGTCTTCTTTGAGGTCGTAATAATTACCCGGAGCAGCCCATTCGTACTACAGAAGATGTTGCGTGGCCCCACCACGTTAAGAAGAGGGGATATATGTGCAATGTTGACATTTAAATTTGCGGAACTCGTATTTATTATCTTAAGTACAACTTTATGTCCAGCGGTGTTCAATCCACACAGGCCAGCGTGATTAATATTGCACCCGCGTTTTAATCGTTTACGAGGGAACGTTACGCCGACTTTTTTATGACGGCAATTTGTAAATCTGATAAAGTCCGGACGCAAATAAACGGAAATATGAAAGTTAAAGTTAAAAGTGAACATAATAATATGGTATGATCACCGAAACGATTTGGTTGTGACATGTGGGCCAGCTTGATGACTTATAACAGAATACATTCGTAAACTTGTATCATATAAGTTTTCTCGACAGACTTAACGACAGCTATAGAAACTTTTTTCACTGTGACAATTGAGAGTTAATAATGAACAATTTTTGAAAGTGAATCGTGTTTGTTTTCTGTCTTTTAGACCGATTATTGTTTTTAATTTTCACCGCTTCTCACATAAAAACCACAAACAATAGCAAACAAAAGGCGAATGGGCTGTAGCGAATTTTAATTTTCCCGCAACACTAAAACTTTATTTCGAAAATACAATAGCCTCCATTGTTATCAGCCGCGAATTTCACTAAGAGTAGAAACCAAGAAATCTCCATAGATTTGCGCTCAAGTATTTATGGACTCCTCAAACAATCGGCTCCATGCTGCCAGCCAACTTTTATGTATTGAGCTGTACATTTCTTCTTATTTATTTTTCTGTGAATATTCATACCTACCAATTGACACTTTATTTGACAATCTCGGCCACATATTTTGTCACAATCACCAAAAGTGTATTGATCGTTTTGAATAAAATACTATTTTTTTGCTAACAACTAAAGTTAACATAATTTACAAGTGCTGTATGCTTGATGATAATATTAATTCGGTACTTAATTTTCACTTAGTAAGTCTCTAATAAGCCAATAATGAAATTGATGATAATAATTGAGGCATTTTTTAAGGACCTTCAACTAAAGTTACGCGTATGAGCGTAGTATGAGCGTAAAATACTTCTTTTGCGCATCTTTGGAGCTGTGATGGAAGATGAGAGATGGCAAACGCATTACAATCACGAGCTGTAATATATAATAAATAAAAATAATAAATATTTTAGGACACATTTTTTTACACAACATTCTCTAGTCCCAAACTAACCAACGCTTGTACTATCGGTACTAGAAAACCGATAGACATACTTAAACATACTTTTCTTTTGTAAATAAATACACATTATACATATATAACCCAGACACTAGAAAAACACTATGTTCATCACAAAATATTTTTCCAGTAGTGGGAATCGAACCCACACCCTCTGGCGCAGAAGGCTAGTACACTAGCGACTTCGGGCCATTCGGGTCGTCAATATATTATTATGATATATAAAATATATTATGATGTTCCAAACGCGAAATAATTGAGGGCTGTTAGGCTGGAGAAGGATATCCATGAATAGAACGGACTGGAAACTTAATTGACCAGGCTGAGGCCACCGGTGGCTGTATGCCTCAAATGATGATGATTCCTCTAAAGTATCAGTCGACAGTTGAGAGAGATGAATTCTTTTACAACCCGAATAATAAATACTAACACAAAATATCGGTATTATTCATTCATTAGACTTAATTCTGAAAAGGTTACATGTTTAAATAAATAATTTGTAGTTGAGATGGCGCCACAAGCATTGTAAAAGGAAATTAGTTCGCATACAATTCCCGCGGGAAATTAGGGAATAATTACCTCTAGTCAATATGCATTGTAGTCTTTCAAAGAAATAATGACAAACGTTAAACTGATATACAAACGATTTGATTTTGTGATTTAAAAGAAAATAATGGTAAATTTTAAAACATTCAGTAATTTTACTCTGAGATAGGTATCGAGATTAGTACTAATTATTCATGCATGTCCCATTAAATACTTCTCGCACCGAAACTCTTTTGATATATATTGCATATAGAAGTTATTGCATGATAGAGTCTCCGCCACCAGTACCTGCCTCGACACTAAAACTTCACAAAAGAGGGGTTGTAAAGGAGAAATATTTGTATGTTTTATACCCTCCCCTAACATCGGGGTTCCTGCTCTTTCTTGGCTAATTTCTTTTCAATAATAACACTGTTATATCTTAATTTTTACCTAATGAATAGTGAAAGACATAAATTAAACACTAGAAATAAGGACAAACTTACTACGCCATTGTTTCGCCCACAAAAAGTAAATAGGTCGTTCATGGGGCGCAAGGTGTGCGCATGTATAATAAAATCCCACAGTCGATATTAAGTCTGCCGCTTGTTCAATTTAAACGTAAAATCAAAAGTCACCTTATGGCTAAAGCATATTACACTATTGCGGAATATCTCGACGACGCCAATGTGTGGAGTTAATACCGTTGATACTCACGTAGGGTAGAATAAGACTATTATACCGCTATTTTATATTGTAAACTGATATTTTTTAAAAAGAGCAACTATTGAGTTTCTTGCCGGTCTCTTCTCAACAGAAACTACTTTCCGGTGGTACCTTACGAACCTACATGTATAATTTTTTATGTAAGATTTGACGATTCATAAGAGCGCGCAAGCGTCTATTTGAATAAAGATTTTTGATTGATTGATTCATTGATATAACTCGTGTCACAATAACAATCTTCTAGGGTAACACCCTATTTACAATTGAATCTACAAGAACTAACAATTACTGTGTTAGAGCCACGCAACAGTGTTCACTGTTGCACGAATGGGCAGGTCCGTCCGAGTAAGTACCACGACCTCACAGAAGACCGGCGTCAAGTAGAAGATTACTATGCTGCGTTTCGTCTGGTGAGTACGGTAGCCGGGGCCCACTTCATTTAAAGGTGGCAACGCGTTTGCGTATGCAATAGACATTGGCAACCCTCGTAGGGTTGCCAATGTCTATTGTCGGCGGTTATCACTTAACATCAGGTGAACGGCAACTTGTTTGACACTTTCTCGTACGAAAAAGTGGAAGAAAAGTTTTTCGCCACTGCGGTAATGGAACACCGTCATCCGGAATCGCGCCTAGACGCTTTAACCGCTGAGAGCCGTTTTATAACGATAATTTTAACGAGAGAAATCGCCATTGCTATTTGTACCTGCTATTCTATAACTGTTAATAATTAAACAAGCAGTACGAATGCGAGATATATAATAATAATAAAAAGACATACTTATGCTCTGCGAAAACGTTTTACTGTTTGCCCTCAACGTTGCTTTATAAAGACGCAAAGGGAAATGGAAAAATAAACAGTGCACGACCGTGTATAAATTCAGAATAAGCGTTAAGCAAGGAGGCGATATATTTTCATGTAAATCGTTGCGAGAGTAGGGTGGCGGTCAACCGGGGTGCTCTATTAACTTAACCGTCTTCCTGCGACATACGCGCAGATGTTTGATATAAATAATATAAAGGAATAATAATAAAAAGAAACAAGTCCATATTTTTACTAACGAAAAACAAAACTGAATTCAAATATCTCGCTCTGTATTCATTTTACAATGGATTTTCGGGAGTACCCTAAGTATCCGGAGCCCCAGATCCGATACCAATGAAATTAATCTGGGACCACATGGGAGGGACCAGCTTTCAAATAAAACAAATAATCATCAAAATCGCTCAGTCGAAAGTTCTGAGGTAACAAACATAAAAAAGAATACAGTCGAATTGAGAACCTCCTTCATTTTTGAGGTCGGTTGATAAGTAGTGAGTTTTTACAATATTGTTGGGGGTCTTTTAAGTAAAAAGATATCAGAATCAGAATCATATAAGAAGATTAATTGTCTCTAGTATAAAATAATAATACAAAGTAATAAATTTTAAGCAATGCTACGTCGCCAAGTGAGTTGTACTGTCCTCACTGTCATGAGACAGTGAGTCTACGGAGTCTGTATTAGATTTAAAAATCAGGCGAAATTTCTATTAGTGATTAAACACAGTTAACTTCCTGTAATGATTCTATTAAAGCTTTCTTGCAATTATGGTATTTCATTGGCTTAAT